CAGTTGTTTTTTTGCTGAACATCATGCAGACAGTTTTCTTTATGTTGAGTTGCAAACGTGAGTTCTTGACCCACAAAAAAATCTAAATCAGATCAAAGTCCCGAGACAGGACTGGTGGAGCCGGACCGACGCGTCAGAAGGACGACACGACGAGCACGAAGCACCAGCAGCATTTTAACAACAACAAACCACAAACACGATCCACCAAACAAACTCACTCAGCGAAAACATCACAATAAAACAAACACTTACTTCACTGTTAAGATTCATTCACAATAAACATTTTCATTTGGAATTAAGTGTTTACATGAACTTTTTAAAGAGGAATTTATTTTTATTCAGATTTAAATTATTTTTATTTGGAATAGTTGAGTTTCATTGTTGACAAAAGTGTTGCTGGGAATTATTTTGGTCGGCGGCAAGAAACACTAATTGAACATGACGAACGGAGCGAGAAAACACGTAAAGGGCATTGATCCCAGTTATTTCTCCGCTCTAACAGCAGAGGACGTCACGTGGAAACAGAGGCAGGACCCAAAACGCAGGACTGCTTCAAAATATTTAATGACAAAACAGAAAAAATCCAAAACTCAAGACTAAATGGCCACGACAAGAGACACAGAGAAACTCGGACAGAGACAATGGACCAACAAAGGGCAGACGAGAACACAGGGAATAAACACACACACCTGAACGAGACACAGGTGAGACACATGAGGGCGGAGCCAACGATCAACAACAACAAACAATCAGGAAGTAAAACTCAGAACTACAAGCAACAAAACAAATGTCACAATAAAACACAAACTACAACCACCACAAAACATGAACCATGACAGACGACCAAGACCATCTGACCACAAACTGGTCATAAACATCGACGGACGACAAATCTCCCTTTTCAACCCCGACAGAACCTGGACCAAACCAAACTTCTGGTCAGAATCTCCAACTCCCTGGACAAATATTCACTTGGGCGACATCCACAATGACTTGGTGGAAACTCCTGGGCCATTCACAGCAGAAAAGATGAAAACCTCCAAGAGTCTGGATGTGTTGTTGAACTTGTTGAGTCCACGGTTTGTTAGGATCTTCTACGTTTGCTCTGCGGATGTTTGAAAGTCGTTTAATTCACTGTTAGTGGTTCTTTTCACTCAGAATATGAAAAAGACATTTTCCTCCTTCTGTGTTTCTATTTGTGCGTCTGATAATGCAGCAGGAATTTACCATTATCAGGAGAAATACTCGAGGTTACACACTGTGTTTGACGCTACTGTGTTTCTGCCTCTGACTAAAATATTTCCCAGCAGCAACGCGGGTTTTTAATAACAATGACGTCAGCTCAAACTTGACTATTAAAGCTCTCATATAAACGTGGCGACTGAAGAATGGGTCAAATGCAGAGAACAGATTTACCTGGGAAAAATAAAGTGCACCTTAAACTTCAACTTAACACAGGGTTAATAAAGATGGGAGGGCATCTGACTCAGTCCTCTCTCTCTCTCTCTCTCTGTCTCTCTCTGTCTCTCTGCAGCGTCGAGCTCGGGCCTCAGTTCTCCCGACAGCACGGCCCTGCAGATGGTGTCAGACCCGACCCTGGTCCACGTCCTGGTCCGGTTCCTCTCGGGGACGAACCCGAACGGCACGAGTCAGCACAGCGCTCAGGTCGGCCCCACGGCCACGCAGGCCATGCACGAGTTCGTGAGCCGCCTGCAGGTGCACCTGTCCTCCACCTGCCCACAGGTGTTCAGTGACTTCCTGCTGCGCCTCATGCACATCCTGTCGTCTGAGAGGTGAGGCCCCGGGGAGGAGGAGGGAGTGTGTTTGTCCACCAGGGCGCTGACTCTTGGCTCGTGTTGAATTGTATTTGGAGTGATTCATGTTTGAATGATCTTTAGGGTTTAAATATTTTTATTGATTTAACAATATAATGCAGAAAAAAGAAAAACAAACCCCGATCCCTCCACCTGCCCTTACTCACCGCTGTGGAATACAGATTAATAACACTGCAAATTAAAATGCACAAAGCCCAAAAAACAAATCGACACATACAAAAATGTACATCTACACAGAATAGAACAGAAATAAAACCATCAAGCAAACACACGTTAATGATTTATTGAAGATAAAAGAACAATTTCTACACCTTAAAGAAATTTAGTTCAGAACCACTCAATGTAGATCTGATTTTTTTTTATTTTTCCCAAGTCTGAGATTCGAAAAAACTCCAGTGTTACAGAGGGAGGCACAGGGTTTAAAAGAATAATGCGGTGAACCAGTAGATCAGGCATGTCCAAACTATGGCCCAGGGGCCAAATGCGGCCCTCTGACAAATTATTCTTGGCCCTCAGGCTTCCAGGTGAATTGGCCCAAATTACCTTGAATCAACAAAAAAAAATTTTTTACTGCAAGTTTTTTGAAAATTTGCCTTGATAAAGCGAATAATTAATATTTAGTGTTTGGTTTTAAGGATTTTAGCATGAATAAAGTCTGAACTCTAATGTGTTAAACATGCAAATATTTCAATTATTCACTGTATCGAGCAGCAGTCTGTGGCCCTCGATCGGCCGTCTGCGTCATCTGTGTTTAGACATGTGGCCCTTGATGAAAAAAGTTTGGACACTCCTGCAGTAGAGTTAAACACAATCACCTGTGTCCTCCTGCTGGAAGCCACAGCCCCCAGGTACCATCCTGAGCAGAGCAACAAGAGGTCTTGGTCATATCTAAACTCCTCACTCTGTGGATAAAGCCTTAAATTTGCTTTTCCAGTGTCATCCTAAGTCAGGGTAAGACCAGAACATACGGAGCAGTGCAGACTCACTGATCTTACATCTGTCACATGTGGTTTGAATGATGTTTAACCCTGTTTCCAGCTCCTCCTGTGCCACTGTGAGGAAGTCAGAGTCACTTGGTTCTTTTATGAAGTTGTTTTAGATCAATATTGTGATTCAAATGTCATAATTAGAACAGAACAATCCACAGAGCTCAAGAGTAAAATGCTTAAACAAAAACACATGTACTGTATTTTCCGGGTTATTAGTCGCGCTCTTAAGACTCTAACCGCATCAAAAAACGACCGCGCACCACAATCCAGAGCGCCCCATACACGAATCCACTCAGGTGTCCCAGCACGACTTCAGTAAACTACAAACACACAAACACACACGGAGCAGACAAACACACAAAAACACACACGGAGCAGACAGCGACCGCACAGAGAAACACACCCACACACACACACACAACTCATCACTTCACGCCGACGAGGAACGGAACAGAGGAACGAACCGAAAAAGCCACGAGCGCGACGTGCCACTTCTAGACACGACTGAACTGAGTCACTGCGAACACGCCGACAATCCGCTGGTCCCAGACACACCCTCCCTACACGAAAGATTTAAAATGTAAAAAATGACCGATAACGACGGACAAAACTGAAATTCCTTTTACCAAGATTAGAATTTCTGTCGAGATGAATGAAGAACTGTGCTTAAAGACGGGGTATTTTTGGAGCTTTCTCCCATGTTTTAACGTTCCATCGTCTAAAAAAACATGTCTGAAGAGGTTTTAGAGACATCCACGCGTGTTTGAGTAATCTAGCGATCTCTCTGTACGAGATTTCTCCATAAATACGACAGTAAACGGGAAAATTCTCCGTGGATAATACAAAAACGTGACAGAAAACCGCAGTAAGTTTTGTTAGAGGGGACGTGCGGTGATTGTGTTGTGATGGTGCTCTGAAGGGGGAGCGACTTAGCAGCAAAACCGAAACTTACAAAACACGTTAATCTGTTGTTGCGGGTGATTAGAGCGTTTACAAAACAATAAAAAGAACTAAAAATGTGAGGAACGGAACGGAGGAATGAACCAAAAAACGTGCCGCTTCTACACACGACTGAACAACTGAGTCACTGAACACGCCGACAATCCGCTGGTCCCAGACACTACTCCCTACACGCCACAACTGAACACACCCAGAGTCACCGTGAACGAACAAACAACCAAAACCACTCACCATCACACTGTTGGGTTTCCTTTAAAGTCCCACGCCGTTTATTTGTGAAAAAAGTTCAAAAATAGAACATTTAATATTGACCCCTGCTCTCCTCTCTTTTCTTTTCTTTTCTTCTCTCTCGTGTGGCTCAGAGGTCCGTTCCAGTCGGGTCAGGGCCCTCTGGACGCTCAGGTGAAACTCCTGGACTTCACTCTGGAGCAGAACTTCGAGGTGGTTTCCGTGGCGACCATCCTGTCCGTCATCGAGTCCATCACGTTCCTGGTCCATCACTACATCACGTGCTCGGACAAGCTGGTGTCCCGGAGCGGCTCGGACAGCTCGGTGGGGGCGCGCGCCTGCTTCGGGGGGCTCTTCGCCAACATCATCCGCCCGGGCGACGCCAAAGCCGTGTGCGGCGAGACCACGAGAGACCAGCTCATGTTCGACCTGCTCAAACTGGTGAACGTCCTGGTGCAGCTGCCTCTGTCCGGAGACCGAGAGTTCAGCGGGAGGCTCCCACCAGGGGGCGTGAGCGCGGCCGACAGCAGCGCGTCCGACGAGGAGAAGGTACGACGACAACGACGACAACGACAACAAAGTCTCATCGTTATTCTCACTGTTTCTAAGTTTGTTTTGTGTCTCTGTGTTCGTCAGTTTTATCACAACTGATTCTTTTGTTTTTCAGGTGTGTGGAAGTAAAGAGGGCGGGGCCAGCGGAGGCTCGTCGACCAATCAGGGCCCGGCGTCCGGAGTGGCAGACCTGGTTTTAGCCAATCAGCAGATCATGAGTCAGATCCTGTCGGCGCTGGGACAGTGCAACAGCAGCGCCATGGCCATGATCATCGGTGAGAGTCACAGACGGCGACGAGGAGTCAGATCTGACTCCACAGATCTGAGGAGTCAGATCTGAGGAGTCAGATCTGAGGAGTCAGATCTGAGGAGTCAGATCTGTGGAGTCAGATCTGAGGAGTCAGGGAGCCACTGTGAGGGAGTCGTGGAGGGAGTCAGGGAGCCACTGTTGAGAAGTCAGGGAGTTGTGGAGGGAGTCGGGGAGCTATGAAGTCAGATCTGTGGAGTCAGGGAACCGTTGAGCCACTGTGCAAGGAGTCAGGGAGATGTCGAGGGAGTCAGATCTGTGGAGTCAGGGAGCTGTGAAGTCAGATCTGAGGAGTCAGGAAGCGGTGGAGGGAGTCAGGGAGCCACTGTTGAGGAGTCAGGGAGTCGTGGAGGGAGTTGTGGAGCTATGAAGTCAGATCTGTGGAGTCAGGGAGCCGCTGAGGAGTCAGATCTGTGGAGTCAGGGAGCCGCTGAGGAGTCAGATCTGTGGAGGAGAAAGGGTTTTTATGAGACCAGAGTGGAGTTTTTACTGTCACTTCAATAACGCTCAGAACAACAACTAGCATGCTATCAGCGCACTTCCTTACCTTGTCCGTTGCGTGTGTGTCCCAGGAGCGAGCGGCCTCCATCTGACCAAACACGAGAACTTCCACGGGGGCCTGGACGCCATCTCCGTGGGCGACGGCCTCTTCACCATCCTGACCACACTGAGCAAGAGGAGCAGCTCCGTCCACGTGATGCTCCAGCCCATCCTCACCTACATGGCCTGTGGATACATGGGCCGACAGGTGAGTCCCTGACACTGACCCGCAGACAGGTGCACACAGGTGCAGACAGGTGCAGACAGGTGCAGACAGGTGAGGCTGCAGGGGATGAGTTTAAACTTTCTTGTTGAGTCTGGAGACTTTCACACAAACATTTTCTCTTTTCTCTACAGATTATTTTTGGAGTAATGTTTATGTTTTCCCTTTGTCCCTGTCAGGGCTCCCTGTCCACCTGTCAGCTGTCGGAGCCTCTGCTGTGGTTCATCCTCCGAGTGTTGGACACGAGTGAAGCTCTCAAGGCTTTTCACGACATGGGTGAGTGAGGAACACGCTCGTTCAGACTGAAGCAAAACTGAAACGTGGAACGTCCCTGAGAGAAATAAACCCAGTTTTCTGTTGAAAGTCACAGTGGATAAATCTGAGTCTGTTCTCCCGACAGTTCAGTTCTCCAATCGTTCCACTGAAACAGTCCGGAAAAAAAGGAGCCTGAGAAAGTTTAGCTTAAAGTCAGGTTTTGGTGACTCAGTTACGTCAGTTTGACTTTTACATGTTCAGAAAAAACTTGTGTTACTGTGAAATGATGTGAAAGAAAAACTAAATGTCACTACAAAGATTTTAGAAGACACTTTCTCAGGGTTCCCACGATCATGGAAATCCTGGAAAAGTCATGGAATTTTAGGCAAGGCAAGTTTATTTGTACAGCACAATTCATACACAAAGTAATTCAAAGTGTTTTACAGAATAAGAAATACATTAAAATCATAAAAACAAATCAAAACATAAATAATCATGAAGATTAAAATAAAAAAGAGAGACATAAATTGGAGAGAAGAGTGCGGAATGAAAACCTAGAGTCTGGATTTAAACAGCGTCACAGAAGAGTCTGTCTCACATGTTCAGACTGTTCCAGGTTTTAGCTGCATGAACCTGAAACTCTGACTCCCCTTGTTTAGTCGTGACTCTGGCACCAGCAGGAGTTGGTCCCTGAGCTCCTCAGAGTGTGAGATGTTCATATGACACTAACATGTCACAGATGTAGTGTGTGTTTCCCTTTGCTCCAGTGTTGTGTTCAGTTTTCATGAGTCTGTTCTGATTCTTTGTGAACATCTGAGTCTTTTGTTTAAAAGAGACGACAATAAAAACACTGACAGGATTTAAAATGTTCAAAAACTATAATCCCAAACCATAAAGTGAGAGGAAAGAGTGAATGTTTCAGATTTAAACCTAAAAGTCTGATCAGTTCTGCACATGTAGGTGCTGGAAAGTCTCGGAAATTTCACTTCAGCTCATGAAAAAGTCATAGAAAAGTTTTGAAATTTTGTCTGTGAAAAAGAGTGAACCTGTTTCTCTGCACAGACACAAACTGAACACATCAAAATGACCAAAGACACTTCTCCCCATTTACTGTGTGTTTGCCCACATTTGAACTGTGACCTAAATCCAAGCGGCTCAGTTCACTTCCTCCAGGTCCAGGTCGGTTTTCCACGAGAAAACAAGAGACACAGACAAAGTCTGACTCAGAGTCTGCTTCTGTTCCACGTCCCTAACTCTTCAACTCTTCTCTGTCTGCCCCTGTCTGCCCCTGTCTGCCCCTGTCTGCCCCCGTCTGTCCCTGTCTGTCCCTGTCTGTCCCTGTCTGTCCCTGTCTGTCCCCTGTCTGCCCCCGTCTGCCCCCGTCTGCCCCGTCTGCCCCCGTCTGCCCCCGTCTGTCCCTGCCCGTCCCTGTCTGCCCCCGTCTCTCTGTCCCTGTCTGTCCCTGTCTGCCCCTGTCTGCCCCTGTCTGCCCCTGTCTGCCCCTGTCTGCCCCTGTCTGCCCCTGTCTGCCCCTGTCTGCCCCTGTCTGTCCCTGTCTGTGCAGGAGGAGTGCAGCTGATCTGTAACAACATGGTGACGAGCACCAGAGCGATCGTGAACACGGCGAGGAGCATGGTCTCCACCATCATGAAGTTCTTGGACTCGGGTCCGGGGAAGTCGTCCGACGGGAACCTGAAGGCCCGGGTCATGACCTCTGAACCCGACAACGCCGAGGGGCTGCACAACTTCGCTCCTCTGGGTACACGACACGTTTATGATCTAAAACTCCAAATCAGGCAACGACACAGACGTCATGTTCTTGTCTTTTATTGAAGTTCATGCTTTTCTATAATGAGGACACAGAACATTTACACACACGACCCACTGCACAAATAAAAACTAAATAAACACTTGAATAAAAAAAAAAAAACAATACTGAACCTGCGTGAAGTCAAACCTGCACAAAAACTCTGTCCATGGTTTGTGCTGCTTTAGTTTTGGAGACTTTAACGATTCTTTTACAGGTTAAACTGGAGTCACAGCCTCAGGAAACTTCAGAATGAAATAAAACGACAAACAAGTCGATGAGTCAAAATGTGAAACGGCCTCAGAACAACAAAGAAAATTAAACCAGTCGTTTGTGTTTGGTTTGTGTTGTTTTGTGTGTCTGTTTTCATTTGTGTGAGTTTATTTCTAAAATTATTCATGATTATTTTTGTGTAAATTCTTTAAGATAAACGAGTCTGTGGAAAAGTTTGTTATTCTATAAAATCTGAATCCAAATCAAGTTCCTCCAGGCTGATCCAGACTTTTCCACAGCCTCAGGTCGTTTCTCTTCACTCGTTTTGTGGAGTTTTGTTAAAGTCGCTGTTGTCAAATGAACAGAAATGAACAAAATATAATTTACATAAAAATTATCATGATTCATTTTAGAAATAAACTCACACAAATGAAAACAGATACACAAAACAACACAAACCAAACACAAACGACTGGTTTAATTTTCTGCCGTTTTGAGGCTGTTTCACATTTTGACTCATCGACACAAAATAAAACTTCATATTTTAAAAACCAGAATCACACAAACTGAACTTTTACAGCAAAAATGAAGCACAAACAGGTGACTCCATTTGAAGTTGTTTTATTTCATTTTGAAGTGTGTTGGAGCTGCTGACACTAGGGCTGTGCAAATATATCGAAATATCAATATATCGTATCGTTTAATGTGATGATACAGTATCGATATCGTGGGCTGCTGTATCGATATATCACCAGGAGGATTTTTTGGTTTATTTTACTAAATCATTTTGTTACAAATCACAGACATGATTTAGCCTTTATTTTTTTATTGAACCGTATCACATCGATTTGAAATATATCGTATCGAATCAAAAGCGTGCTGTATCGACATGTGTATCGTATCGGCAGTTTCTTAATGATACCAGCCCTACCTGACACCAGTTTGACCTGTAAAAGAATCATTAATATCTCCAAAGTTAAAACAGCATGAATCAAACTTTCTGCAGCACAAACGACGGACGTAGTTTTTGTGCAGTTTTGTGTTTGACGAGGAAACTTCAGCAGATCAACACTGAACTCTGAAGGTTCGTTCACACCAAAGCTCCAAAAAAAGCCTTGACGTCTCTATTTGGAGCCGTTGCATTTGAGTTCAGACGCCCCCGACGCTCGTGTCTTTGACGCCGTGGACCAACGGGAGAAAAATACTTGACGCGCGTCCGTTGTCCTGGAAACAAGAGCCCGGTCCTGGTCTTTTCCCGAAACAATGTCAGACCAGACTGAGACTTTAGTGTTTTTATGACATAAAACATCAGTGGAGGAAATCGACTCGACGACTGGAGCGAGTTTATATTTATACTCCACTAATGACACTGGATCAGTCCTGGTCTAATCCTGGTCTAATACTGGTCTGGTCCTGGTTTAGTCCTGGTGATCGTCTCGGTGTTTGTGGTGTATATATTTATTCTCCGTTCATGTTTGTGGTTCTGGTTCTGGGGTTTTTCTTCCTGATAATAACGTCGCTGTGTCTCTGGATACTCGTTCCTGATTGGTTGAGGCGGTGCATCTGACGCGAAAAGTTCAGCATTTTCAACTTCTTGACGCTGACTCCTCGGACGTTCGTCTGGAGCATCGACGCCAAAACGCTCAAGATGCGCCGCAAAAACGCAGGACGCTCTAGTCGCGCGTCCACATGGACTTTACACAGAAACTGGCTCTGACGCTTTGGTGTGAACGAACCTTTACAGTAAAACTAACTCTTGTGCTTTTGTTTTTGTTTCTTATGCGTCTCTTTGTGTTCCTCTTGGCTCCTCCGTCCCTCAGGCACCATCACCTCGAGCAGTCCCACGGCTCAGCCCGCCGAGGTGCTGCTGCAGGCCACGCCCCCTCACCGCCGGGCGCGCTCCGCCGCCTGGTCCTACATCTTCCTCCCCGAAGAGGCGTGGAGCGACCTGACGGTTCACCTGCCCGCCGCCGTCCTGCTCAAAGAGATCCACATCCAGCCGCACCTCGCCTCGCTCGCAAGTGAGTCACACGGGACTGGGACTGGACCGGGACTGGACCGGGACTGGACCGGAGACTGGACCGGAGACTGGACCGGAGACTGGACCGGGACTGGACCGGGACTGGACCGGGACTGGACCGGGACTGGACTGGAGACTAAACCGGAACTAAACTGGGACTGAACCAGGGACTAAACCGAGACTCAACAGGGGACTATAGCGAGACTAAACCAGAGACTAAACCGGGACTGGACCGGAGACTGGACCGGAGACTGGACCGGAGACTGGACCGGAGACTGGACCGGGACTGGACCGGGACTGGACCGGGACTGGACCGGGACTGGACCGGGACTGGACCGGGGGGACTTGACTGGAGACTGGACCGGGACTAGAATTTACAATTTACAGTTTATTTATTTGGAGGATAAGCCCCTTGAGATGTTTTGCCATCTCGTTTTCGAGGGTGTCCTCAAAGGGGGGTCCACTAAATCAGGGACTAAACCAGGACTAAACCAGGGTTGAACTGGGGACTAAATTGGGGACTAAATCGGGACTAAAGCAGGACTAAAGCAGGGACTGAAGCGAGACTAAACCGGAGATTAAACCGGGACTAAACCTGGGACTAAACCTGGGACTAAACTGGGACTGAACCAAGACTAAACCAAGGAACTGGGGATAAACCGGGACTAAACCAGAGACTAAACAGGTACATAGTTGGGAATTATTAATAAAATGTTTTGTTGGAAACTATACTATACTCTTTCTGCTCTGGATCAAAAGTTTTGTGGACTCAGATCAGCAGGAGTCGTACAGGATGATTCCCGTTGGAAAAGTCAGACTTCCAGATGATTCCGCTCTCGTTCAGATCTGTTTTTCTCTGACCGTCCGTCTGTGTCGTCCTCAGCGTGTCCGTCGTCCGTGTCGGTGGAGATCAGCGCCGACGGCCTGAACATGCTGCCTCTGTCCACGCCCGTCATCACGTCCGGACTCACCTACATAAAGATCCAGCTGGTGAAAGCCGAGGTGGCGTCGGCCGTATGTCTCCGCCTCCACAGACCCCGAGACGCCAGCACCCTGGGCCTGTCCCAGATCAAACTCCTCGGACTCACGGCGTTCGGAAACACGTCCTCCGCCACCGTCAACAACCCCTTCCTCCCCTCTGAGGACCAGGTCTCCAAAACCAGGTCTGTACACACACATACACACACACATACACATATACACACACACACACACACACACACACACACACACACACACATATACACACAACACACACACACACACACACACACATATACACACAACACACACACACACACACACACACACACACACATATACACACAACACATGCACACACACGCAGACACAACACACACACACACACATATACACACAACACATGCACACACACGCAGACACAACACACACACACACACACACAACCCCTTCCTCCCCTCAGAGGACCAGGTCTCCAAAACCAGGTCTGTACACACACATACACACACACATATACACACACACACACATATACACACAACACACACACACGCACACACACACGCAGACACAACACACACAAACACACACAACCCCTTCCTCCCCTCAGAGGACCAGGTCTCCAAAACCAGGTCTGTACACACACATACACACATACACACACAAATACACACACATATACACACAACACATGCACACACACACACACACACACACATATACACACACACACACACACACACACATATACACACACACACACACACACACACATACACACACACACACACACACACACACACACACACATATACACACAACACATGCACACACACATGCACACACGCACATATACACACACACACAAACACACACAACCCCTTCCTCCCCTCAGAGGACCAAGTCTCCAAAACCAGGTCTGTACACACACATGCACACACACACACACATATACACACACACATACATATACACACAACACATGCACACACACACACACACACGCAGACACACACACACAACACACGCACACACACACACACGCAGACACACACAAACACATACACATATACACACACACACAAACACACACACACACACATATACACACAACACATGCACACACACACACACAGACACACACATATACACACAACACACAAACACACACAACCCCTTCCTCCCCTCAGAGGACCAGGTCTCCAAAACCAGGTCTGTACACACACACATACACACAAACACACACATATACACACAACACACACACACACATATACACACAACACACGCACACACACATATACACACGCACACACACACAACACACGCACACACACACACACACATATACACACACACACATATATACACACACACACACACACACACATATACACACACACACACACATATATACACACACACACACACATATACACACACACACATATATACACACACACACACATATACACACACACACACACATATATACACACACACAACACACGCACACACACACACACACAGTGTTCCCCAGTGTCATGTCCAACCAGAAGTAAAAATGGCAAACTGGGAAAAAAGTGTTAATTTTTCATAAAATTTTAGATTCAGATAAACTTAGGTCCACAGGGAAAGACTCTTTGACTGAATTCCACGAACTGAAACTAGAATCAAAATTAAACTCATTTCAGCAGGAATTGATTCTGGATAAAAAAAAAGAAAAAAAAAAAGGTCTTGATCAATATCAGAACTAGTATAAGGTAATTCATTTTTTTATATTTCAGCCCTTGTTTTCTATTTTTTATTATTATTTTTTGTCTCCATAATCATAAAGGCATTTACATCTTTCAGAGAATAAAATGTCAAAGCTCATAAAAAATTTAAAAAATTAATGCTGTTTCTGTTAATTCTGCAGTTTTAATAGATGTTTACAAGGGCAGCCGTTCTACTTTTATAAATCTACATTTAAGAATTCAATAAATGTTCATATTTTAAAATCAAACTTAAAAAATTATTAGTTTCTGTTGGAATTAAAATTTTATTATTATATTAAACTCTTTCTGTTTGTCCAGCCTTTTCTCCAGGAGTGAAACATGTTTTTACTGTTGTGGTGTGGACGTTCACATGACTCTGTTTGTGATGTGTGAGTAAAATGTTCCGTACTGTTGTGTCCAGTATCGGTTGGCTGCGTCTGCTTCATCACTGTCTGACCCACGTCGGCGACCTGGAGGCCATGATGGCGTCGGCGGCGGCGCCCACGGCCAACCTCCTGCAGACGTGCGCGGCGCTGCTGATGTCGCCGTACTGCGGGATGCACTCGCCGAACATCGAGGCGGTTCTGGTCAAGATCGGACTCCAGTCCACCCGGATCGGACTCAAACTCATCGACATCCTGCTGAGGAACTGCGCCGCCTCCGGGACCGACCCCGCAAGTACGGACTAAAGACACACTGCGGAACATTCACGGTCCTAAAACACGCTTAAAGACACACTGCGGAACATTCACGGTCCTAAAACACGCTTAAAGACACACTGCGGAACATTCACGGTCCTAAAACACGCTTAAAGACACACTGCGGAACATTCACGGTCCTAAAACACACTTAAAGACACACTGCGGAACTTTTAAGGACCTAAAACACGCTTAAAGACACACTGCGAAACTTTTAAGGACCTAAAACACGCTTAAAGACACACTGCGGAACATTCAGGGTCACAAAACACACTGTCAACTTATTTTTTTGTCACAGTTTTAGAACAAGAGGAGACGAGAGTCATGTTCCACTTTTCAGGTCCACGAAGCATCAAACTTTTATCACAGTTAAAACTAGAGACCGATCGATATGGATTTTGCTGTGGCCGATATGAAACCGATATAATGGGAGTTGGAGCTGCCGATATAATCACCAAAATATTGAGTGATGTAAAAATACACTGTAAATCTTGAATTGTTTAAAAAACTTAGGTTTGGTTCTGGTGGATTTTAAATTGGGTTTATTTAGGAAACATTTCTTGTTCCTCTGACTCTTTGTCGGACTAATGTCATTTTTACATCACATTCTAGACACCAGTGATGGGGATTCCAGTTCTTTTTAGAGAACCGGCTCTTTTGGCTCGGCTCACTAAAACCTGCTGGCTCTTTTGGCTCCAAAGTGGCTCTTCAGATTATTTTGTTGCAAACAGAACTAAACCAGAACTGAACCAGGACTAAACCAGGACTGAACCAGAACTGAACCAGGACTGAGTGTCAGGACTCGGTCTCTCAGTCTCTGGAGCCCAAGATTAGTCCTGGTTTATTTATTTTATGCTGAACTACAGACAAACATGCAGGTTTTTTTAATCTTATTTACATGCAGATTTCTGAAAGTTTTGTTTGCAGCCGCTGCAGCTGTCAAACTACCATGAGTCTGCCAATAAGGATCAGGCTCTCGTCGTTCACTTCAAAGAGCCGGATCTAAGATCCACTTCGTTTGCAACGACCCGTCACTACTAGCGAGTAAAGAAACTAGCGCTATTAGCCTTTAGCCGTAAATACGTGCACGCCGCGGTGATGAATTATATGTGTAAATGTCGATCATTCACACATCTGTTCACAGCTCATTTACAGATCAATGCAGCTCCAGTCACAAATATACAAACAATATAATCACTTTACAACAGATCAATAGAAAACAGACTGTTTATGTGTTGGAGCTACAGCAGCTAATCGCTAACAAATAAACAAAACCAGCTTCAAAGTCGACACATTTCAACACTCACCGCTCACACAGGCTCCTCCCACATCACACAGGCTCCTCCCACATCACATCACAAGTCTGAACTAATAAATGTCCTTTTAATCCAGACTCATAAAAAGAAAATAATTTAAATGTTGTGCACATGGATCTGTGTGAGTGTGAACAAGCACACGTGAGTGACGTGTGTTCAGGGACAGTAAGACACACACACACACACACACACACAAATGACTCCGCAGATAAACACTGATGTGGAGACACATATTAGAACATTTATCTGTAAATTGGATTAAATGAACAGAATGTAGAGAGTCTAAGATTTATAACGACGTATCACATGCCCACGATAATATCGGCCAACTGATATATCAATCAACTCTAGTTAAAACAGAGATTTTGTTTTGGACGTTTTTTGTAACTAAAACGCGATTATAAAAATGTGATGTTGTTTGTTTCAGATCTGAACAGTCCTCTGCTCTTCGGTCGACTCAACGGTTTGTCCTCAGACTCCACCATCGACATCCTGTACCAACTCGGAACCACACAGGACTCTGGCACCAAAGACAGGTACTGATACTCTTACTACTCTCCTCCTCTCATCACAACTCAAACCAAACACAGATACAGCTTTCACTTCTACAAAGACGGGTCCTGTCTTCTCTCTTCTCTCCTCTTTTCCTCTTCCTCACAGCTCCAAACATTTAATCAAACTCCCGTCAGCTTTACTTAGTTATAAATCGACCTTCTCTTCAGTTTCCTGCGTCTTTATTCTGTCTTCACCTTCAGACTCGGATCATTTTCCCCTCGTGTCTGTGCTCGACGGTTTTGTTTTTAGTCTGATTTTAACGGCTTCAGAAAATATGAAAAGTTTAAACCCTCACACTCGACGTACTCGCGGTTTATTTTTGTAATAATGTACGAAAGATAAACCTGGATTATTTCAGTCACAGAACACAGACGTCTTCCTGTCGTGTCCTTGTTTAAACTCGGCGGCGCCCCCTGTGTCCTCAGGCGTCTCCACCAAACTCTTTTATTAGATTAAAAAGGAAGAAGAAAAACGCCGCGTCCCTAAACGTCTCATTTAAACGTCCTGAAGCGTCTGGTGTCCTTGAACACGTCAGAGCAGGAGGAGGAGCTGTCGAGTCGAAAACACACCAAACTTCAACCCTGAAACCGCACGAGCCTTTTAACACCTGCGGTTTGGTTTTTAAGAAAAACTTCAGACGGATTTTACAAAACGACAAATATTAAAAAAATATTAAAGGTTCAACACTAAGACACAAAACTGACTCTTGTGAGATTTATGTTCTAATGTTCTAATGTTCCTGGTCACAAACAGGTCTAAGTCTGAGGTCTAAGTCTGAGGTCTAAGTCTGAGGTCTAAGTCTGAGGTCTAAGTCTGAGGTCTAAGTCTGAGGTCTAAGTCTGAGGTCTAAGTCTGAGGTCTAAGTCTGAGGTCTAAGTCTGAGGTCTAAGGTCTGAGGTCTAAGGTCTGAGGTCTGAGGTCTAAGGCTGAGGTCTAAGGCTGAGGTCTAAGGCTGAGGTCTAGGTCTAAGGCTGAGGTCTAAGTCTGAGGTCTAAGGCTGAGGTCTAAGGCTGAGGCTAAGGCTGAGGTCTAAGGCTGAGGTCTAAGGCTGAGGTCTAAGGCTGAGGTCTAAGGCTGAGGTCTAAGGCTGAGGTCTAAGGCTGGGGTCTAAGGCTGAGGTCTAAGGCTGAGGTCTAAGGCTGAGGTCTAAGGCTGAGGTCTAAGGCTGAGGTCTAAGGGCTGAGGTCTAAGGGCTGAGGTCTAAGGCTGAGGTCTAAGGCTGAGGGCTAAGTTGGTCCAGGTCTGAGGTCTAAGTCTGAGATCCAAGTTGATCTAGGCCTGAGCTCTAAGTCTGTGGCCTGTGGTGTAGGTCTAAGTCTAGGTCTGAGGTCTAAGTCTTGGTCTAGGTCTGAGGTCTAGGTCCGTCTGTCTAGGTCTGAGGTCTAGGTCTAAGGTCTAGGTTGAAGTCTGAGGTCTCAGTCTGAGGTTTAAAGTCTAAGGTCTGAGTCTAGGTCTTTTACCTTTAGTTCAGTGGAGATTTGCAGTTCCAGGGCTGAAGTGATTCTAGTGAAGATGTGTGGAGTTTAAAAACACAGTGGAGCACTTCCTGTATCACCACATGATGACATCAGAAGGTGGAGCACAGTGTTTTCAGTTTGAGAGAAGAACTCGTGTTAAATCTGCAGGTTTGTGTTAGAGATGGTGTTGTGGTTTGATCCTGGTGTCGTGGTCACCTGACGGTCTACACGGGCGTCTCCGGTGTTTCACCTCTGCTGATCTCACCCTGATTTTAGTGACTTTGTATGAAGAAAAACAAAAAACCCACAACTTCAATCCAGATTAAAAAAGACTTTGTGACGCGCGTTACTCACATTTATACACAGTAAAATATTAGTTTTTTCCCTGTGACGCCACATTACTGTTAGAGCAAAAAACAACACAGCACAGTAAATCGTTACTTTTATAAAACGTTACTCCAAACACTGCACATGAGCTTTAATCAAACACACTCGTATTCAGACCTGCGACGCCGCTCGTCATAAACACTTTCACTTTAATATAAAATATAAAACAGCCTGAGAAAGAACTTAGGAGGTGTGTGTAGTGTGTGTAGTGTGTGTAGTGTGTGTAGTGTTTCATCTATAGTCGAGTTTGAGCTCATTGTTATTAAAAACCCGCGTTGCTGCTGGGAAATATTTTTGGTCAGAGGCAGAAACACGGTAGCGTCAAACACAGTGCGTAACCTCGTGTATTTCTCCCTGATATTGGTAAATTCCTGCTGCATTATCGGACGCACAAATAGAAGCACGAGAGAAGGAAAATGTCTTTTCTCATATTCTGAGCAAACGTAGAAGATCCTAACAAACCGTGGACTCCAACAAGTTCAACAACACATCCAGACTCTTGGAGGTTTTCATCTTTTCTGCTGTGAATGGCCCAGGAGTTTCACCAAGTCATTGTGGATGTCGCCCAAGTGAATATTTGTCCAGGGAGTTTGAGATTCAGACCAGAAGTTTGGTTTGGTCCAGACTCTGTCGGGGTTGAAAAGGGAGATTTGTCGTCCGTCGATGTTTATGACCAATTTGTGGTCAGAATGGTCTTGGGTCGTCTGCTGTTAGAGTGGAGAAATAACCAGGATCAATATCCTTTACGTGTTTTCTCGCTCCGTCCGTCATGTTCAATTAGTGTTTCTTGCCACCGACCAAAATAATTCCCAGGATGCAACGTGCGCTTTTGTCAACAATGAAACTCAACTATATCGTGTTATTATATTAAACTCATTATCAGAAAACAATGACATGAGGTTTATCTTCATAAATCGATGGTGTACGGAGAAACTGTACATATTGAATCATGGGAAAACTGTTTTGTTGCATCCTCAGTTTGTGTTAAACATGTGAATGAAACAAAACGTATCTGCAGATCTGTGTGTGACTGGTTCAGAATGGTCCAGATGCCCTCCCAGGACTTGACCTCTTCTCTCTTGTTTCTTTTCGTCTGTCGTGTTCAGGATCCAGGCTCTGCTGCAGTGGGTTCACGACTCGTCTCGGGTGGCGGCTCACAGACTCAGTTCTCCTCTGGGCTTCAGCTCGTCGGGTTCGGCCTCGTCGCTGGAGTACGGGCTCCTGATGCCGTCGCCGTCGCACCTGCACTGCGTCGCCGCCATCCTGTGGCACAGCTACGAGCTCCCGGTGGACTACGACCTGCCGGCGCTGCTCAACAGAGAACTCTTTGAGTACGAGCGCCAGACTTTACTCTGTGGCTGACTATTGTTAGAAAGTTAAAAATAACCCTAAAACAAAACAGTAGTGATGGGCAGGTCAGGGTTAGCGCCCCCTGCAGGCAGATATATAAAAGTGTCACCAGAGTCTGACAGAAGAAACATCTGAGAAACGTCTGAGGGATCAGACAAACTTTATTTAATGTTGAAAATCAGATTCTGTTGTCTAAAGAGAGAATTTTATCATTGTGCCATCAGAATCAATATTGAGTTGTAGATAGTAAAGAAAAAGTTGAAGTTAAGTTAAAATAAAAATTTATGTTAAAGTAAAAGTTTACATAAAAGTTAAGTAAAAATTAAAGTAAAAGTTTACATAAAAATTAGAGTTAAAGTTTACATAAAAATTTAAGTAAAGGTTTACATAAAAATTTAAGTAAAAATTAAAGTTGAAGTAAAAGTTAAAGTAAAAATTTATGTTAAAGTAAAAGTTTACATAAAAGTTAAGTAAAAATTTAAGTAAAGGTTTACATAAAAATTAAAGTTGAAGTAAAAGTTAAAGTAAAAATTTAAGGAAACATTAAAGTAAAAGTTAAAGTAAAAGTAAAAATTAAAGTTAAAAGGTAAAGTTAAAATTCACGAAAAGTTAAACTTAAATTAAACTTAAAGGAAAAGTTAAAGTAAAGTTAAAGTAATAGTCCAGGAGGAGGAGTGGTTCTCTTGTTGTTTTCTCGTTGTTTTCTCGTTGTTTTCTCGTTGTTTTCTTGTTGTTTTCTCGTTGTTTTCTCGTTGTTTTCTTGTTGTTTTCTTGTTGTTTTCTTGTTAGTCTTGAGTTTATTTGTCTGATGTTTCTTCTGATTTCTGTGCTGTTCTTCGTGTTCCTCAGGCTGCTGTACAACTGGTCCATGTCTCTGCCGTGTAACATCGTGCTGAAGAAGGCCGTGGACAGTCTCCTCTGCTCCGTGTGCCACATCCACCCCAGTTATTTCTCTCTGCTCATGTCGTGGATGGGCATCGTTCCCACGCCGTCGTCCAGTCACTCGCAGGCGCCGCACCGCCGCATGGCCATGACCGACGACGGCAAGAAGCAGCAGATCGAGCAGACCGAAGACTCCTCGCGTCACTTTCGCCCGCCGCTGGACCTGAGCGAGTCCCAGCTCAGCACGCTCGCCGCCGCCTCGCAGTCTCCCGGCGCCATCGACCAGCTGCTGGACTCGGGGCTCCCGGCGCTGCTCGTGCGCAGCCTCACTCAGTTCTGCGTCGGCCTGTTGGCGAGCAACGACCTGCCCGTTCCCGCGTCTCAGATGGACAGAAGGCACCACTATCACCACTTTAACTCCTCCAACTGCGCATCGTCGTCAGCGGCGGCGGCGCAGGGGCGGCAGACGCTGGCGGCGGAGCTGGCGGCGCCCGTGCTCAGGTTTTTAACTGAAGTTGGAAACAGCCACGCGATGAAGGACTGGTTAGGAGGACCAGAGGTGAACCCGCTGTGGACCGCTCTGCTCTTCCTGCTCTGTCATTCCAACGCCAGCTGTCAGACGCTCGCTTCCTCCTCCTCCTCCTCCTCGTCCTCAGCCCCGCCCTCTCAGCAGTCGCACGCCTCAAACCCGGGATCCAGGTTTTCTTTGGCGTCGTCGGCGCAAAACGGCGGCCTGACGACGCAGCAGAGGACGGCGCTGGAGAACGCCACCGTCGCCTTTTTCCTGCAGTGTATTTCCTGTCACCCCAACAACCAGCGCCTCATGGCCCAGGTACAAAACCCCGCCCCCTGACCCCAACCCCGTCCCCCTAACTCCACCCACGCCCCCGAGGGTTTAACTCTGAGACATGTTTGAGATCTTATTTTTTTCAAAAAAAGGAATTAGAAACCAGACGGTGAATGTGAAATGGAAAGTGTCAGAGGTCGTTGTAGTTAATCAGTCCTGGACAAACGTGAGACACAGAAACACACCAAGAAATATGAACAAAACAATAAACTCTCTGATAATCCTGTAGTTCAAAGATCATATTCTCATTTCTAAAGGAACTCAACATTTAAACATCACAAACAGGCTCAAGTCAAAATTTAAATAAAAGTAAAAGTTAAGTAAAAATTATAGTAAAAGTTAAGTACAAGTTACAGTTAAAATAAAAGTTAAAGTTAAAAGGTAAAGTTAAAATTAATGGAAAGTTAAACTTAAAATAAACTTAAAAGTAAAGTTAATGTAAAGTAATAGTACAGGAGGAGGACTCTCAAACAGGCTCTTATATTTTATTTTTAACCAGTGCTGTCCAAAAATATCACGTCATTTACAAGTTAATTCAAAATCACGAACTATTTTTTTGTTTTTTTTTATATATCACAAACTAGTTTGTTCATAAACTGTGTCCACTGCTGTAACGTCAGAAAAACTACAGGATGCAGCTGTAAACGAGAAACAAAACAATTAGTATGAAACTGAGAAACCCTGCGTGTGCTGATGTTGTTTATACGAGAAAAACACAAAATGAACTCCACTCCAAAACACACGGAGAATCCACACTGACCCTTGATAAGAGCTGTGACAGAGACAGACGTTTTACAGACTCTGTTCCTCCTGTTCTCTGCTCCGACCTGTTTTTATCTCCATAAACTCACAGAGGAACGTATCAGGACTCACGTCTGTCTCACTGTTAAAAACATATTTCTGCCGCTGGACTTATTTTCTCTCTAAATCGTTTTCTGTGCTCCACATGTAAACAAACATCGCTGTGTGACGACATCATCAGCTCAGTGCAACAGCGTCGGACAAACACGTCACAAACACAGATGCAATAAAAATAAAAAAAAAAACATTTACACAAAGCCCGTCTGGTTTTCTATGTTGATAAGACGATTAAAATGATGATTCAAGGGACAAAAAAGTGACATTAATTTGCGATGAATTGTGAGTTAACTATGACAATCAAGAGAATAATCATAATTAAATATTTTAATCAGTTGACAGGACGATTTTTAACATAACTGTTTCTGTATATTGTGAAAAGAACCATTTGGATGTGAGATATGTTGACCCTGTTTTCTCTCTGTCTGCTCCTCTTCTCTCCGGTGCAGGTCCTGTGTGAGCTGTTCCAGTCGGCTCCACAGGGGGGCAGTGTTCCGGTCTCTGGGAACATCTCAGGCTTCATCAGGAGGCTCTTCCTGCAGCTCATGTTGGAGGACGAGAAGGTCACGGTTTTCCTCCAGTCTCCATGTCCGGTACGAAAACACACCTCAGACCTGTTCACAAGAAAAATCAACGTGTGTGGAGTTTGTAGAGTCTGTAGAGTCTGTAGAGTTTGTAGAGTCTGTAGAGTTTGTAGAGTTTGTAGAGTTTGTAGAGTCTGTAGAGTTTGTAGAGTTTGTAGAGTTTGTAGAGTTTGTAGAGTCTGTAGAGTCTGTAGAGTCTGTAGAGTCTGTAGAGTCTGTAGAGTTTGTAGAGTTTGTAGAGTTTGTAGAGTTTGTAGAGTCTGTAGAGTCTGTAGAGTCTGTAGAGTCTGTAGAGTCTGTAGAGTCTGTAGAGTCTGTAGAGTTTGTAGAGTCTGTAGAGTCTGTAGAGTCTGTAGAGTCTGTAGAGTTTGTAGAGTTTGTAGAGTCTGTAGAGTCTGTAGAGTCTGTAGAGTCTGTAGAGTCTGTAGAGTCTGTAGAGTCTGTAGAGTCTGTAGAGTCTGTAGAGTCTGTAGAGTCTGTAGAGTCTGTAGAGTCTGTGGAGTCTGTGGAGTCTGTGGAGTCTGTGGAGTCTGTGGAGTCTGTAGAGTCTGTAGAGTCTGTAGAGTCTGTAGAGTCTGTAGAGTCTGTAGAGTCTGTAGAGTCTGTAGAGTCTGTAGAGTCTGTAGAGTCTGTAGAGTGTAGAGTCTGAGTGTAGAGTTTGTGAGTCTGTGGAGTCTGTGGAGTCTGTGGAGTCTGTGGAGTCTGTAGAGTCTGTAGAGTCTGTAGAGTCTGTAGAGTCTGTAGAGTCTGTAGAGTCTGTAGAGTCTGTAGAGTCTGTAGAGTCTGTAGAGTCTGTAGAGTCTGTAGAGTCTGTAGAGTCTGTAGAGTCTGTAGAGTCTGTAGAGTCTGGAGCTGATCCCAAACAAAACATGAGAAGGAGAAACATCTAAGGAGCACACGTTTGGAGATTTCTCCAACAACACTGGTTTAATCGTGTTTTATTTTGACTTTTACAGTTGTACAAAGGACGCATCAACGCCACGAGTCACATGATCCAACACCCCATGTACGGAGCCGGACACAAGTACAGGACCCTGCACCTGCCCATCTCCACCACCCTCGCCGAGGTCCTGGACCGAGTCTCAGGTAAAGACCGAACACACACCGAACACACACACCGAACACACACTGAACACACACCGAACACACCGAACACACACACCGAACACACACCGAACACACACCGAACACACACACCGAACACACACACCGAACACACACCGAACACACACCGAACACACACACCGAACACACACCGAACACACACACACACCCCTCCTCTGCACCTGCCCATCTCCTCCACCCTCGCCGAGGTCCTGGACCGAGTCTCAGGTAGAACTGGGTCAGATCTGGAGAAGGGTCCATCTGCTTTAACTTCTTGGGTTCTTTTTTAAAATCAATACAGTGAAGTTTATTCACCTGTTGACATGTTCCTGCTGCTGCTGCATCTTCAGACTGTCCCAGTGTTGGTGGTGACGTGTCGTACATCAGCTGTTGTTACTTCCTGTGGGCGTGGTCAGGCCTGATGGACCCAGCAGGTCCTTCAGACTGACCACGCCTCCTGTCACCTGCTGTTCTCTCAGGTGTATGAGAAGATGAACACTCCGTTCTCACAGTCAATGCAGAGTTTAAACTTGTTGTTCTCCGATCAGAACAAAAAGTCCAGGGAGGACATAGAATCACAAATGGAGGTACAGACGTCCTTTACCGTGACGACGGAGCGTTCCTCGTTTCTGGTCTCAGATCTGCTCAGATCTGGACCACTGCTCCTCACAGTTTGACTCCACTGAACAAACAAATACTGTAGAACTCGTGTCTGTTCTGAATAAGATTTACTCGACCTGGTGGGGAAAAAGACTCACGACAAACGAAATAAACACTTGTCCAGTTGCCAGATTTCATTTCTCCTTTGCCATGATTTAACCTGAACGACAGATTTTACACAAGAAAAAATCAACAGGATGAATTTAGTGTCTTAAAAATACAGCAATGAAAAGTAATAAAGTGGAGTAAGAGGGAGGAGATGTGTTGACAGTGATGATCTTTGCAGATCTTTGTAGGATGTAAAGCTGTTGTGTTTCTGTGCGCAGACACTCCGAGCATCACGGCCAAACTGATCAACGAGCAGAAGGAGGACAAAGAGAAGAAGAACCACGAGGAGAAGGAGAAGATGAAAGCCGACAACGGATTCCAGGACAATTACAGCGTCGTGGTCGCCTCAGGTCAGAACAGACTCAGACCTGGTTTAGTCCTGGTTTAGTCCTGGTTTAGTCCTGGTTTAGTCCTGGTTTAGTCCTGGTTCAGTCCTGGTTCAGTCCTGGTTTAGTCCTGGTTTAGTCCTGGTTTAGTCCTGGTTTAGTCCTGGTTTAGTCCTGGTTTAGTCCTGGTTTAGTCCTGGTTTAGTCCTGGTTTAGTCCTGGTTTCCTGGTTTAGTCCTGGTTTAGTCCTGGTTTAGTCCTGGTTTAGTCCTGGTTTAGTCCTGGTTTAGTCCTGGTTTAGAGTCCTGGTTTAGTCCTGGTTTAGTCCTGGTTTAGTCCTGGTTTAGTCCTGGTTTAGTCCTGGTTTAGTCCTGGTTTAGTCCTGGTTTAGTCCTGGTTTAGTCCTGGTTTAGTCCTGGTTTAGTCCTGGTTCAGTCCTGGTTTAGTCCTGGTTTAGTCCTGGTTTAGTCCTGGTTTAGTCCTGGTTTAGTCCTGGTTTAGTCCTGGTTTAGTCCTGGTTTAGTCCTGGTTTAGTCCTGGTTTAGTCCTGGTTTAGTCCTGGTTTAGTCCTGGTTTAGTCCTGGTTTAGTCCTGGTTTAGTCCTGGTTCCTGGTTCAGTCCTGGTTCAGTCCTGGTTTAGTCCTGGTTTAGTCCTGGTTTAGTCCTGGTTTAGTCCTGGTTTTAGTCCTGGTTTAGTCCTGGTTTAGTCCTGGTTAGTCCTGGTTTAGTCCTGGTTTAGTCCTGGTTTAGTCCTGGTTTAGTCCTGGTTTAGTCCTGGTTTAGTCCTGGTTTAGTCCTGGTTTAGTCCTGGTTTAGTCCTGGTTTAGTCCTGGTTTAGTCAGTCCTGGTTCAGTCCTGGTTTAGTCCTGGTTTAGTCCTGGTTTCCTGGTTTAGTCCTGGTTTAGTCCTGGTTCCTGGTTCAGTCCTGGTTCAGTCCTGGTTTAGTCCTGGTTTAGTCCTGGTTTAGTCCTGGTTTAGTCCTGGTTTAGTCCTGGTTTCCTGGTTAGTCCTGGTTCAGTCCTGGTTCCTGGTTCAGTCCTGGTTTAGTCCTGGTTTAGTCCTGGTTTAGTCCTGGTTTAGTCCTGGTTTAGTCCTGGTTTAGTCCTGGTTTAGTCCTGGTTTAGTCCTGGTTTCCTGGTTCCTGGTTCAGTCCTGGTTTAGTCCTGGTTTAGTCCTGGTTTAGTCCTGGTTTAGTCCTGGTTCAGTCCTGGTTTAGTCCTGGTTCAGTCCTGGTTCAGTCCTGGTTAGTCCTGGTTTAGTCCTGGTTTAGTCCTGGTTTAGTCCTGGTTTAGTCCTGGTTTAGTCCTGGTTTAGTCCTGGTTTAGTCCTGGTTTAGTCCTGGTTTAGTCCTGTTTATCCTGGTTTAAAGTCCCTCGGTGTGTTTCAGTCCTGGTCTGAAGTCTCAGTCCAAACGGGCCCTGTCCACCCCCCCCAGGCCCCCGTCCCGACGAGGACGAGTCCTGAGCGACAAACTCAGCTCCGGCTCCGGAACCGACCCAAACAAGACCATCAGTGTACCTGTGTTCCACCTGTACCACAAACTCATACCAGGTACTACTACTACTGCAAATACTACTGCAAATACTACTGCAAATACTACTACTACTGCTGCAAGTACTACTACTACATATACTACTACTACTACTACAACCGACCCAAACAAGACCATCAGTGTACCTGTGTTCCACCTGTACCACAAACTCATACCAGGTACTACTGCAGATACTACTACTACTACTACTACTACTACTACTACTGTTACTACTGTTACTTTTATTCGTCTGATTATCAAACTCAGGTTTGTTCTGTTTTAAACCGTTTTTATTGTGTCATGTTTCCTGTTGTTGTGTTTGGTTCGTCACATGAGGAGAGTCTGATGATTCTGTTCATTACCTCAGTTTAACTCTGAGTCTGACACTGAGTGTAAATGTCCACTCAGACCAGAGCGTCACAAAACACACTGGACACGTTTAGTTGGACGACGTGGACCAACAGGAGAAAAATACTTGATGCTCGTCCAGGGCGTCTGGGCCGTTTCCTGGTCTTTTCCTGGAATCATGAACCAGGATGAGAGACACTTTAGTGTTTTTATTACATAAACACATCAGCGGAGGAGATCAGTTCAAAGGCCTGGTCCTGGTCCTGGTCCTGGGTCCGGTCCTGGTCCCGGTCCCTCCTGGTCCTGGTCCTGGTCCTGGTCCCGGTCCCTGGTCCCGGTCGATCAGTTGTAGTTGTGTGTTTATATTTATCCTCCTCTAATGACTCGTCGTAGAGTTTCTTGTTCTGGTGTTTGTGTTTCTCACTTTTCTTCATGGAGATGTTGTTGCTTTGTCTGGAAAGTTCCACAGTGTGACATTAAACCTTTCTATTTTTATGGAGACCAAACGAGACCAGACACAGTTCCAGGTCAGATCTGTGGAGAGGCGACTCCGCTCAGTCACAGTGTCTGTTTTTGTTTTTCTCTGTGTTTTTTGAGTTACAAAACCTCCTGTAAATGAATAAATGTGAAGTTGAGCTGTTTAAAGTCACACTGCGGAACATTCCAGACAGAGTAAATGAGCAGGTGCCAGACGCTCCTCCAGAAAAGTCCCAGAGTGCAGCTTTAGTGAGGTGTGTGTGTGTTGTTCCTGCAGGTCAGCCGTTGCCCCCGGAGATGACCCTGGCTCAGCTCCTCACGCTCCTCTACGACAGGAAGTTACCTCAGGGCTACCAGTCCATCAACCTGACCGTCAAACTGGGGTCGAAGGTCATCTGCGACCCGGGGCTCTCCAAGACCGACTCCTTCAAGAGGCTCCGCACAGAGAAAGGTAACGGAGCACCTCCTGATCTCACGCGGCCCACAGACGCTGGAGGAGCTGATGTTCTGACCTGGACAACCTGGACGTGTGTTTTGTTTCATGTTTAACTCACAAACCTTGAACATTTAACATGACAAAACACTCTGTTCCACCTTGTGATGTCATCGTGCTCCACTGTGTTTTTAAACTCCACACACCTTCACTAGAATCACTTGGATCATGTTTGACTCTGAGTCTCCAAAGTTACACAAAATAAATGAACACAGGAAATAAAATAAAGCAGAAAATAAATAAATAAAAAAGCAAGTCAATAAAAAACATTAAAAAAACATAAAATAGAATTAGCAAATGGAAAAGTAGCAAATAAAATCAATAAAAACCGGTCAGAGGAGCACAGAGTTGTGACGCCGTGTTACAGTCGGTGAGTAAAAGTGTTTTTAAACGACACTTCAGGTGAGAGGGGAGGAGCTCTCCAGAGTTTGGGGCCAAACACAGAAAAGGCCCGGTCGCCTCACGGTCAGTTTTTAGGACGATACGTTGGAGCCCTCAGACTGGAGGACAGAGTTGGTTTTAAATGGATGAATTGTCGGATGTTCTTTTCTTATTTTTATCTTTGAGTGGGACAAATCTTCTGTGGGTTTAATGGACGATGCACCGTCTGTCCGTCTGTCTGTCTGTCCTGTCTGTCCGTCTGTCTGTCTCCTAAAAGCTCTGAGTGATTCTCCAAAACACGTCCTCTTCTGTCCTTTTCTCTCTGTTCCTCTTCCTTCCCCTCTTCCTGTCCCTCTTCTCCTCCTCTTTTATCTCCACCTCTCTCGTCTCTTCTCCTCGTCTTTCATCTCTCTCCTTCTCCCTCTCCTCTTCCTCCTCCTCTTCTTCTTCCTCCTGGAGTTTAAAAATAGCCGTGTCTTTAATAGGTTTATGGGGCGTCTGCTGTTTTTTATTTGAATGTGGAGGCTCCGGAGACAAGGACGTCCGTCTCCGTCCGTGTCTGTGTCCTTCTCTCGTCTGAATCGTTTCAGTGTAAATTATCTCTTAATGGAACAGAGGAGATTATTTAAGAGACGACACGAAAAATGACTCACTTAACCGAGAAAAAAATAAATAAATCTTCAGCAAAACATTTTCAGGACACAGGTTTGTCCAGTTTGTGTGATTCCTCAAAGCTTCAAGTCATTTTACAATGTCGTGTCCTCTGTGTCCTCCGCCTCCGTCTGCGTCTCCACCTCTGTGTCCTCCACCTCCGTCTGTGTCCTCCCTCCGTCTGTGTCCTCCACCTCCGTCTGTGTCCTCCACCTCCGTCTGTGTCCTCCACCTCCGTCTGTGTCCTCCACCTCTGTGTCCTCCGCCTCCGTCTGTGTCCTCCGCCTCCGTCTGTGTCCTCCGCCTCCGTCTGTGTCCTCCGCCTCCGTCTGTGTCCTCCGCCTCCGTCTGTGTCCTCGCCTCCGTCCTCCGTCTGTGTCCTCCGCCTCCGTCTGTGTCCTCCGCCTCCGTCTGTGTCCTCCGCCTCCGTCTGTGTCCTCCGCCTCCGTCTATCCAACCGCTCAACCAGTGAAGTTTATGTCGAGAGCTCGATTCGAACAGCAGACAAATGCCCCGGTTCGGTAGAGACGGGAAATTCCAGGTCCAGGTGATTCTAGTGAAGGTGTGTGGAGTTTAAAAACACAGTGGAGCACTTTCTGTATCACCACATGATGACATCACGAGGTGGAACAGAGTGTTTTCAGTTTGAGAGAAGAGCTCGTGCTAAATGTGCAGGTTTGTGAGTTAAACATGTGAATGAAACAAAACACGACTCCAGGTCTGTGTGAGACGAGGAAACAACATCAGAACAGAAAATAAAATGGTTTAATGTCAGATGTTTGTTCCCTGACGTCCTGGTCCCTGTCCCTGATCCTTTCGTCTCTTCTGTCCCTGATCCTTTCGTCTCTTTTGTCCTGTCCTCTCTCTCTGTCCCTTCGATCCTTTCGTCTCTTCTGTCCTTTCTGTCCCTGATCCTTTCGTCTCTTCTGTCCCTGTCCCTGATCCTTTCGTCTCTTCTGTCCTTTCTGATCCTTTCGTCCTCTTCTGTCCCTGATCCTTTCGTCCCTCTTTCTGTCCCTGATCCTTTCGTCTCTTCTGTCTCTGATCCTTTCGTCTCTTCTGTCCCTGATCCTTTCGTCTCTTCTGTCCTGTCCCTGATCCTTCGTCTCTTCTCTGTCCCTGATCCTTTCGTCTCCTTCTTCCTGATCCTTTCGTCTCTTCTGATCCTTTCGTCTCTTCTGTCCCTGATCCTTTCGTCTCTTCTGTCCCTGATCCTTTCGTCTCTTCTGTCCCTGATCCTTTCGTCTCTTCTGTCCCTGATCCTTTCGTCTCTTCTGTCCCTGATCCTTTCGTCTCTTCTGTCCCTGATCCTTTCGTCTCTTCTGTCCCTGATCCTTTCGTCTCTTCTGTCCCTGATCCTTTCGTCTCTTCTGTCCCTGATCGGATCCTTTCGGTGTTTTGTCCCCGTGTCCGGAGGAGGAGCCCATGTCTCTGTGCGAGGACCTGGACGGCGGTGACGAGTCTCTGCTGGACACGGGTCCGGTCCAGTCTCCTCTGCAGGTGTTCGCGGGGATGGGAGGTCTGGCTCTGATCGCAGAGAGACTCCCCATGCTCTACCCCGACGTCATCCAGCAGGTCTGACGCTCAAAACCCTCAAACCCTCAACTCCACACCTCCACAACTCCACAACTCCACACCTCCACACCTCCACATCTCCACACAAAACCCACAAAACACAAACTCAGAAACAGTGAAAATAATGCTGAGACTTTATTGTTCTCTTGTGTAAAGTGTAAAGTGCAGCGTCTCATCCACGTTCTCCACAGACTTTCTCCTCCACAAATAATGAGTCCACAGTTCACATCACGTCTGAACTGTGGCTCCAGTTTTTTAAGTCGTAGTTTCAAAGTAAAAAGTTGAGTTTGTTTGGTCTCGTGTGTCTGTTACATCCACACACACGGATCCACCTGAAGCTGAAGCTGAAGCTGCAGATTCTCCACACTGACTCCACTTTATCTCCACTTTATCTCCAATCTTTGACGCTTTAAAAATCCTGGATCTGAAGTTTTGCTCCACATTTCACAAATAATAATCACACAGTTTGGACTTGGATCAAAACTAGAAGAGCAGAGTCTGAACTTTGACACTTCAGAGTCTCAGAGACACTGGAGACACTGGACACACTGGACACACTGGACGCACTGGACACTGACACACTGGACGCACTGGACACTGGACACTGGACTGGACACACTGGACACTGGACACACTGGACGACACTGGAGAACTGGACACTGGACACTGGACGCACTGGACTGGACACACACTGGACACACTGGACACTGGACGCACTGGAGACTGACGACACACTGGACCACACACTGGAGACACTGGACTGGACACTGGAGACACTGGACACACTGGAGACACTGGACGCACTGGAGACACTGGACACACTGGACGCACTGGAGGACACTGGACACTGGCACTGACTGGACACTGGACTGGACACACTGGACACACTGGAGACACTGGACACACTGGACACACTGGACACACTGGACACACTGGACACACTGGACACACTGGACACAGGAAACATCTGACGCCGTCGTGTGGCCCAGTCCAGTTCTATTCTGTGTAAATGGTGATGTTATTAAAATGATGTTTCAGGGTGAAAAAATACAAACACACTTGGCCGATGTCCAAAAGCTTTTTTATTAACAAAATAACGTTTCGGCAAAAAACCTTCATCAGATATTTTAGTTGTGTTGGACCACAGCTCACAAAATGGTCACCAGCCCAGGTGCCCACATGCCCCTTCATGAACAGGACGTCCCAGAGTGAGTCAGCCCCATTCTACAACAAGAAACAGTTTAGATATTTACATAAAAAACATTTTATAAAATACAGAAATAGTTTAAGTTTATCACAAAAAACATCTTAGATCAAACTCCACATTGAGTCTGTGAGGAGGCAGAGTCTTCAGTTGGTGAATCCAGACGTGTCTCTTTTTGACAGGAGCATTTCTAGATTCTCACCTCTAGGGGGCAGCTCCACATGTTCAATGCCAAAATATCTTGACCCTTACACACTGTTCATTTCTTAAGCTTTCACAGTCTGGTCTGGGTCAAATTTGACCCAGACCAAGAATTCCCTCACAGTAAGTGTCTAAACCAAATAAACAGACTGCCCCACATGAATAAATATATGTCATATATAAATATAATGTTTCTGAGAGCAGGAAGAGCATATTTTTGTAAGTTTTACAACACTCGTTTTCTGAGAAAAACATCTACTATCACACAGTATCATGTCCTGTTTTACAAAACAAATAAAAACATAAAAGCCAATATGATGATGATATTTTATTACATTTGAAACTGACATGAATATTCTGGAACTGTTGGAATTTATAATATAACCATGTTTATCCACTGCAGCCACTGTGCTTATTTCAAAGCAGTGGGATATAAAAGTATAACACTTTAAAATATTTTCATTTTTGTGTATTTTGGCAAAATTTAGGAGAAGTCATAAAATTTCAGGATCAAAGAATGATGCTTAGTGTATTTTTATTACTGTTGAATGTCAAAACGGGTCAAAATGAACCCGAATAGTCTGTAAGGGTTAAGGAAGAGATAGAATAGTTCAAATCAACAAAATGAGCGGCTCCGCAGGACACTTCATGTTTTTACATCTGATTGTTCTTCTATGTTCTGCAGGACGTGTTTTTAAAGTCCTGTTTGTTTTACCCACACAGGTTTTACCACAGGGGCAGGTGATCTTATAAAACACAGACTTGGTGTTGCAGGATATAATTATTTTGATCATTATTTCTTTTCCAGCGTGAGGAGCTTGAACTGTTGCAGTGGTAAGTGTAGTTACACTGACTGCGCCACCGCAGCCAAGGCTTTTTTTGTTCATAAAAAAGCTTTTGGACATCGGCCAAACGAGTGTTTGTATTTTTCACCCTGGTCTGGCTCCTCACATTTACATCTACAAATGAAATGATGTTTGTCACATGATTCTGTTGGCGACAAATGAACCAACAAACAGCAGCAGAGAACATTGAACAGAATGAAACGCTCAGGGTTTAGAGTTAGAGTTTAGAGTTAGAGTTTAGAGTTAGAGTTAGAGTTTAGAGTTTAGAGTTAGAGTTAGAGTTAGAGTTAGAGTTAGAGTTAGAGTTAGAGTTAGAGTTTAGAGTTAGAGTTTAGAGTTAGAGTTAGAGTTAGAGTTTAGAGTTAGAGTTAGAGTTAGAGTTAGAGTTAGAGTTAGAGTTAGAGTTAGAGTTAGAGTTAGAGAGTTAGAGTTAGAGTTAGAGTTAGAGTTAGAGTTAGAGTTAGAGTTAGAGTTTAGAGTGTTAGAGTTTAGAGTTAGAGTTAGAGTTAGAGTTAGAGTTAGAGTTAGAGTTAGAGTTAGAGTTAGAGTTAGAGTGTTAGAGTTAGAGTTAGAGTTAGAGTTAGAGTTAGAGAGTTAGAGTTAGAGTTAGAGTTAGAGTTAGAGTTAGAGTTAGAGTTAGAGTTAGAGTTAGAGTTAGAGTTAGAGTTAGAGTTAGAGTTAGAGTTAGAGTTTAGAGTTAGAGTTAGAGTTAGAGTTAGAGTTAGAGTTAGAGTTAGAGTTTAGAGTTAGAGTTAGTTAGAGTTAGAGTTAGAGTTAGAGGTTAGAGTTAGAGTTTAGAGTTAGAGTTAGAGTTAGAGTTAGAGTTAGAGTTAGAGAGTTAGAGTTAGAGTTAGAGGTTAGAGTTAGAGTTAAGAGTTAGAGTTAGAGTTAGAGTTAGAGTGTTAGAGTTAGAGTTAGAGTTAAGAGGTTAGAGTTAGAGTTAGAGTTAGAGTTAGAGGTTAGAGTTAGAGTTAGAGTTAGAGTTAGAGTTAGAGTTAGAGTTAGAGTTAGAGTTTAGAGTTTAGAGTTAGAGTTAGAGTTAGAGTTAGTTTTAGAGTTAGAGTTAGAGTTAGAGTTAGAGTCAGAGTTAGAGTTAGAGTTAGAGTTAGAGTCAGAGTTAGAGTTAGAGTTAGAGTTAGTTAGAGTTAGAGTTAGAGTTAGAGTTTAGAGTTAGAGGTTAGAGTTAGAGGTTAGAGTTAGAGTTAGAGGAGTTAGAGTTAGAGTTAGAGTAGAGTTAGATTAGAGTTAGAGTTAGAGTTAGAGTTAGAGTGTTAGAGTTTTAGAGTTAGAGTTTTAGAGTTAGAGTTAGAGTTAGAGAGTTAGAGTTAGAGTTAGAGTTAGAGTTAGAGTTAGAGTTAGAGTTAGAGTTAGAGTTAGAGGTTAGAGTTAGAGGTTAGAGTTAGAGTTAGAGTTTAGAGTTAGAGTTAGAGTTAGAGTTTAGAGTTAGAGTAGAGTTAGAGTTTAGAGTTAGAGTTACTGCTCATCATTCATGACACTTTTGCTGCTCATGTTGAAAGGTCAAAGTTGATCTCATCTCTGCTCGATGTGACTGAGTCGTGTTCGTGTTCAGGTTTAATGTTGTTTTTGGTTTAATTACTGTAAGAAGTGAAGGCATCACTTCTGTTTGCAGAGCATCAGCTGAGTCAGAAAAGTCTGTCTGTAAACATGATGATTATTGTGAGTGTTATTAAAGTGTGTGTTGTGTTGTGTGTGTGTGTGTTTCAGGTGAGCGCTCCGGTCGTGCCCTCGTCGTCTCAGGAAAAACCCAAAGACACGGATCAGTTCGAGTGGGTGACCATAGAACAGTCCGGAGAGCTGGTGTACGAAGCTCCGGAGTCCATCTCCTCCGAACCGCCGCCCATCTCCAAACAGCAGCCGCCCTCCTCCTCCTCCGCCGTGCAGCCCATGTCACCTATCCCCGCCCACTCCCTCGCCGCCTTCGGACTCTTCCTGAGGCTGCCCGGGTACGCCGAGGTCCTGCTCAAGGAGAGGAAGCACGCCCAGTGTCTGCTGCGACTCGTGCTCGGGGTGACGGACGACGGCGAGGGAAGTGAGTCACGCACAAACGCTTTTAAAACACTTTTTTTAAAACACACAAACGTTTTTAAAACACACAAACGCTTTTAAAACACACAAACGCTTTTAAAACACTTTTAAAACACTTTTAAAACACTTTTAAAACACATTTAAAACACACAAAACACTTTTAAAACACTTTTAAAACACAAAAACACATTGAAAACACACAAACTCTTTTAAAACACATTTAAAACACACAAAAACATTTAAAACACTTTTTATTAAAGCGAGGGGACTAAGGAGCCCAGGACTTGTTCTGTATCTGAATGACGACTGAGTGAGTTTGATAAACTGTATAAAAACTGGGCTGGTCCAGCAAATGTGGTAAAAAAAAAAAATCAAGTTTCAGAACCTCAGTTAAAACCTGCAACAGGTTTTGACTCTAAAAGATGATTTAGGATGAAATGTGGAAGAAAAAGGAGATGTTTCAGATCAGCTCAAGCTGCATGAAGTTTGTGCTGAAGTTGTGAAGCTCCTGCAGATGATTAGTTTTTCCTTCAGAAGCTTCACAGTCTGAACGTTCAGTCATGAAGAAAACACCTGAACAGTTTTGAGCGACGTCTTTGGTTCTTGAGTGAAGAAATGTTTGTCCTGATGTTCTTCACTCCAGTGTGACAGAAGAACAGAAGAAACTGATGTTTCACAGTCTGATGGAAAAGGTTCAGAGGTTCAGAGGTTCAGAGGTTCCACAAAAACCTTTGTGACAGTTCGAGCAGCAGACGGGGCTGATGATGACACTGTCCAGGGACATTTTCAAGTGTTTTTAGCAAACTCTGAAAATTCATTAATTTGCATAAAATTTTGACTCAAATATTTTGTCCAGATCTGGAACCAAATACAGAGAAAGTTTCTAGAGCAGGAGTCTCCAACCTGGAGCTCAGGAGCCACCAGTATCTCCACCTCCTTCCACCAACAAACACACAAAGGTTTATGTTTTACATCTGAGTTCACACTTCTCCTCGTTCTTATAATTAGTCTCAATTTCGTGCAGACGCTAAAACGAGAAGCTCTGTGTTTTTGTTTTGTTAAAAGTTGCTCACTGGAGGAAAAAGTTTGGAGACCCCTGATCTAGAAAATCTAAAAAGACTGAAGCGTCTGAAACATTTGTAAAGAGAGAGAGAGAGACAAACCAAACAATATGAACGAAAACAGTTTAAAGAGAGAAAACCTCACACACCTGAAGCTTTTTCAAACCTTTTTTTCTCTCTCCCTCTTTCTCCCCTCGTCTCTCTTCCCTTCTTTTCTCTTTTTTCTCTCAGGTCACATCCTCCAGTCTCCGTCGGCGAACGTTCTCCCCACTCTGCCGTTCCACGTCCTCCGCGCTCTCTTTAGCTCCACCCCTTTGACCACGGACGACGGCGTTCTGCTGAGGAGGATGGCGTTGGAGATCGGCGCCATTCACCTGATCCTGGCGTGTCTGTCGGCGCTGAGTCACCACGCCCCCCGAAACCCCAACGCCCCCTCCAGCGTCTCCGAGGTACTGCGCCCAAACGCCCGAGAATGTATCCTGATCCACACCAACATCCACACGAACACGAGAATCTACACGAACACGAGAATCTACACGAACACGAGAATCTACACGAGAATCGAAATTAGATCCTCTTTTATCACTATCGATAATAAAATAGTCCCACAGACAGAACAGACTAAACCAGGACTAAACCAGGACCAAATCAGGTCTAAACCAGGACTAAACCAGTTTTTTCACAACAAAGATCAGTTTACACAAAAAGTCCCTCACATTAGCACAGTTTGGTTTAGAGCTCGACCTTTGTCTTTTGAACTATTTATGGATTTCTGAATGATGAATAAAGATGTACCGTTTCCATAGTGATTAACAATTTAAAACTAAATATAAAGTCCAGTAACATGAAACCTGATCTGAGAAAGACACGAGAGCTGCTCACCTCTTTATGATTACACTCTGGTTTAGTGGTTCAATTTTGACCCTGTGTCCCTCTGTCCCTGTGTCTCTGTCTGTCCTCTGTCCCTGTGTCCTCTGTCCTGTGTCTCTCTGTCCCTGTGTCTCTCTGTGTCTCTCTGTCCCTGTGTCTCTCTGTCCCTGTGTCTCTCTGTCCCTGTGTCCCTCTGTCCCTGTGTCTCTCTGTCCCTGTGTCTCTCTGTCCCTGTGTCTCTGTCCCTGTGTCTCTCTGTCCTCTGTCTCTGTCCTGTGTCTCTGTCTGTGTCTGTCTGTGTCTCTGTCTGTCTCTGTCTGTCTGTCTGTGTCCCTCTGTCCTGTCTCTCTGTCCTCTGTCTCTCTGTCCCTGTGTCTCTGTCTGTCCCTGTGTCTCTGTCCCTGTCTGTCCTGTGTCTCTGTCTGTGTCCTCTGTCCCTGTGTCTCTCTGTCTCTGTCTCCTCTGTCTCTGTCTCTGTCTCTGTCTGTCTCTGTGTCTCTGTGTCTCTGTCCTGTGTCCTCTGTGTCTCTGTCCTCTGTCCCTGTGTCCCTGTCCCTGTGTCTCTGTCTGTCTCTCTCTGTCTCTCTGTCCTGTGTCTGTCCTCTGTCCCTGTGTTCTGTCTCTCTGTCCCTCTCTGTCTCTGTGTCTCTCTGTGTCTCTCTGTCTCTGTGTCCCTCTGTCCCTGTGTCTCTCTGTCTCTCTGTCCTGTCTCTCTGTCCCTCTGTCTCTCTGTGTCTCTCTGTGTCTCTCTGTCCCTGTGTCCCTGTGTCCCTGTGTGCGTGTTCAGCCTCAGATGTCCAGTTGTCCGGGGGGAGGGACGTCGGAGGAGCAGCAGTTGTACTGGGCCAAGGGGACGGGCTTTGGGACGGGCTCCACGGCGAGCGGCTGGGACGTGGAACAGGCCCTGACCAAACAGAGACTGGAGGAGCAGCACGTCACCTGCCTGCTACAGGTACGAGACCGGAGACCGGGACCGGGGACGGGGACTGAGGGTGGGGACTGGGACCAGGGACGGGGACTGAGGGTGGGGACTGGGACCAGGGACGGGGACCGAGGGTGGGGACCGGGACCAGGGACGGGGACTGAGGGTGGGGACCGGGACCAGGGACGGGGACTGAGGGTGGGGACTGGGACCAGGGGGGGACTGAGGGTGGGGACTGGGACAGGGACTGGGGACCGGGGGGACTGGGACGGGACCAGGGACGGGGACTGAGGGTGGGGACTGGGACCAGGGACTGAGGCCGGGGACTGGGACTCCAGAACGGCTCAATATTCTGCATAATGACTTTTTGTATCGTTCTCTTGTGTTCTAATGATGTTCCCTCCTCAAAAACCTGTCTGAGGAGGTTCTAGAGTCAAACCCTCCTTACAGTTGGCAGTACGAGTCTGTACGAGGCTCCGCCCACAAGCCTACGTCATGTTCCCACACGACAATCCTCCATAAAAACACAAAAACACGACACAAACTGAACAGACACTGGACACAGCAGGAGTTTGTGTGATGGACTCTGAGGGTGTGAAACGTCTAAACTCTGTTGTTGTGTTGTGTGTTTGAGTTAAACGTCGCCGGAGTCCGGTCGTCCTCGTTAATCCTCCTGATGTTCCCGCAGGTTTTGGCGAGTTACATAAACCCGTCGGGTTCGAGCGGCGCTCACGGCTCAGACTCTGAGAGCAGATCCAACACGGCGGCGCTTCCCACGGTCCTTCAAGAACTACTGTCCCAGTCCTGCCTCATCCCCGCCATGTCCTCCTACCTCCGCAACGACTCAGGTAAACAACACAAACAACACACAACAACACAACAACAACACAACAACAACACAACAACAACACCAACATGTCCTCCTACCTCCGCAACGACTCAGGTAAACAACACACAACAACAACAACAACAACAACAACAACAACAACATGTCCTCCGCAACGACTCAGGTAAACAACAACACAACAACAACAACAACAACAACAACACAACAACAACACCAACATGTCCTCCTACCTCCGCAACGACTCAGGTAAACAACAACAACAACAACAACAACAACAACAACACAACAACACACAACAACTCAAACAACAACAACAACAAAACAACACAACAACAAACAACAACAACACAACACAACAACAACAACAACAACAACACAAACACAACAACACCAACATGTCCTCCTACCTCCGCAACGACTCAGGTAAACAACAACAACAACAACAACAACACCAACATGTCCTCCTACCTCCGCAACGACTCAGGTAACAACAACAACAACAACAACAACACCAACATGTCCTCCTACCTCCGCAACGACTCAGGTAAACAACAACAACAACAACAACAACAACAACAACAACAACAACAACACAACAACATGTCCTCCTACCTCCGCAACGACTCAGGTAAACAACAACAACAGTTTCAACGATTATAATGACCATGGAATAAAAATGCAAACACACCTTCTCAAAGATCAATAAACTTGACTTTCTAAAAACATTTAACACAGAAATGTAAGACAAACAACAACAACAGGCCTAAATAAAACCGACTTAACACAGGACCAGTCTAATGTGTCTCAGCGAGGACGTGTTCACAAAAATACACTTGAATAAACCATCGCTGAACCAAACACAACCAAAGTATTAAATAAAATGGAATATTAAGTCTCTGTAACAAAGTTTCCCGTAAAGTGATTTTAGTCGTTGATTTACGTGGGAATATTGTGTCTCGTCTGTTCCTGCTGCTGTGGCCTCGTCATTTTGATTATTTAAATGTTCGTATGAACCGAGACTCAGGATCCTGTTTGTCTCTGAGTGAGTCTCTGTTCTGTCTGGTGTCGTGTCTGAGTCTTGTGGGATTTCAGTGGATTTTGGGGGCGGGGCTTGTTGTGTTGTTCGGGTTTGGGTTTATATCGGCTGTTGGGGTTTGAGACGTTTCTTCTCGTCGTTTGCGTTTCACTGTATTTGACCCACGTGTCTGTTGAGACGTGTAACACTCACCAGTGTCGCTTCGACATCGTGACTTGTTTTGTCTCTCGGAGATGAACTCTGTCTGTGTTTTGTCTCTGTGTTTTGTCTCTGTGTTTTGTCTCTGTGTTTTGTCTCTGTGTTTTGTCTCTGTGTTTTGTCTCTGTGTTTTGTCTCTGTGTTTGTCTCTGTGTTTTGTGTCTCTGTGTTTTGTGTCTCTGTGTGTTTGTGTCTCTGTGTTTTGTCTCTGTGTTTTGTCTCTGTGTTTTGTCTCTGTGGTTTGTCTGTGTTTTTGTCTCTGTGTTTTGTCTCTGTGTTTTGTCTCTGTGTTTTGTCTCTGGCAGCGGCGCTTGTGTTGAGGCTTCATGTTCACCGCACTCACAGTGGTGCTTTCTGCACTCAGGTCACACTCAGGTCACACTCATGTCCACGTTGGTTCAAGCGTCATGAGTCTTGTTAAACGAGACGAGTCAGAGCGACAGAAGCTTTCAGTCTGTTTGAGTCAGAGCGACAGAGACGAGGAAAACAAACTGCAAATAGAATTTATCGAGGCTGGAAAAGTTATTGAGCTTGTTAAAAGTTATTGTACGATTAATTGATTTATTGACTATCGTTACAGGCCTAAACAACAACAACACACAGGTCACCACGGCAACAACACACACATGTAAACAACAACACACAAGATTACACATTTGTTGATCTGGTTTATGCTTTTTAATTACGCTGCCGATTCACATGAACCAACCAGGTCTAAACCGGGACTAAACCAGGTCTAAACCGGGACTAAACCAGGACTAAACCGGGTCTAAACCGGGTCTAAACCGGGTCTAAACCGGGTCTAAACCGGGTCTAAACCGGGACTAAACCGGGACTAAACCAGGACTAAACCGGGACTAAACCGGGACTAAACCAGGACTAAAGCAGGACTGGAGTCTTGTTTTAAAACAGTATATTTATTTATTGCACAGAACATTTGAACTTAAATATTTTTATAAAAGTGTTTACAGTAAAATCTTTTAAATCAAACTTGAGCAGAGGCTCCAGAACCGTCCAGAGTCTCTGATCCTCAAACCGAAAACACAGAAAGACGTTTGAGTCGGAGCTCGAGGTCGTTTACTGAAGCCCACTGCCTGCTTCATTTATTCATCCAACTCTTTATGTTCACGTTTTATTATTTAAACCAGAATCTCCGAGCTCCAGAGACGCTCCCAAGTGTTTCCTGTTCACAAAACTCTCAGATCTGAAACTGTGAGTGAAGCAGAAGGTTTGGGCTCGTTCACGTTTAGATCAGAGCCTCGTTTGAAGGGAGCGTGTGAACTTTTAATCCTTTTATTTTAGATCTTAATTAGTGTAAAACTGTCCTCTGAGCCGCGGCGTCTGTGTGAGAATAATCAGATAATGCAGAGTTTGTCAGGACCTCAGACCTCGTGACCTCGTGACCTCGTGACCTCGTGACCTCAGACCTCGTGACCTCGTGACCTCAGACCTCGTGACCTCAGACCTCGTGACCTCAGACCTCGTGACCTCAGAGCTCATTTACACTCTGGGACCTTTTCACACTTTAAATTATTTACATGTTAATAAATATAGTGTTTATAAGTGTGGTGTTAGTAACAGACACAGGTGAGTTTCTCTAAACAAAGTTAAAAACATTTAAACATTTAAAAACCAAAATGATTCAGTAAAAGTCTATGTTCAGTCTGCAGTTCAGTTTTTTAGTGAAATCATATTTTTTTGTGACGTTGTTCACATTTCCAGTTTAAATGCTCCTTGTGTGTGACTCCAGTGTGAACTTTAAACGCCCCAAAAGTGTCACATGTGCACTGGACACGACCTCGTCACACACGGTGAGCACATGGATCTGTTAAAATACCTGGAGGAGTTGCTGCTTGTTTCTGCCTCCAGGGGGCGCAGTGACTCACTGGAACTACAGGAAAAAAATCCCCCGAGAAGAGACGGGATTTTTGTCATGAGTGAAAATCACAAACTGCTCAAGTTCAACTGACAGAGACGGACAACTTTTTTTTACCTATTTTTAGACTAAACCCGGATTAAACCAGGTCTAAACCAGGACTAAACCAGGACTAAACCAGGTCTAAACCAGGTCTAAACCAGGTCTAAACCAGGTCTAAACCAGGACTAAACCAGGTCTAAACCAGGTCTAACAGGTCTAAACCAGGTCTAAACTAAACCAGGACTAAACCAGGACTAAACCAGGACTAAACCAGGTCTAAACCAGGTCTACTAAACCAGGTCTAAACCAGGTCTAAACCCGTTCAGACTGGAGTCTCATGTTAAAGATTAGATCTGTTTGTGTTTTAGGAGCACAGATCCAAACGTCCTGAGTCACATTTGTAAAAATCGGGTCTGTTTGGTTCAGACGTCGTCAGTAAAAGATCAGAAAGAGAAAAAAATCAGATTGTGTCACTTCAGGCTGCAGACTGAACCGAGACTGAACTCTGAGTCTTCACACTGAACTTCCTGTTATCTGCTCGGGTCACGGCTGCGGCGCCTGGCTTCTCCTTCACAATAAAAGTGTTTCTCCTCGTCATAATAAAAGCATGAGTCCTTCAGAATAAAAGTCCCTGTCCAGACGCCGCAGCCGCAGCTTCGTGGCTCTGAGAGTTTTACAGCTGCACTTTGATCTCCTCACAATCCACTTTCACTAAACTGGAAAAAAAAAAAAATCATACAAGTTTAATTCTTTTTAAATTTGGACCTTTTTAAACATTTGTCACACACTTTAAACCTGTGTGTGTTTAAATGTGTGTGTGTATGTGTGTGTGTGTGTGTGTGTGTGTGTGTGTGTTTAAATGTGTGTGTGTGTGTGTGTGTGTGTGTGTGTGTAAGTGTGTGTGTGTGTGTGTGTGTGTGTGTGTGTGTGTGTGTGTGTGTGTGTGTGTGTGTGTGTGTGTGTGTGTGTGTGTGTGTGTGTGTGTGTGTGTCCGTATGGCTTCAGAGCGTCAGAAACACTTGACCTGATCATGGGCGTTTAGAAAAGTCTTTAAAAAGGTCTTGAGTAAATTACACACAGATCTTTAAATATGTGAACACACGAGTGACACGACTCGACTCTAAATCCTGACGTTAGTTTTGTTTGTTAGTTTAAAAAATACACAGAATAAAAATCCAGTAACATTTAGTTCAGTTCAGATCTCGTCTTAACTTTGTTTTTACCTCCAAAAAGATTCAGATTTTCCCCAAACTCTCGTCCAGTTTGAGTCTGGACTTTTGTCTTTGTTGGAAAAGTTTGTCTCTTTAAATCTTGTCTTTTTCCGTCCAACCCTCAGTTTTTTCGTCATGGCTGATCCTCCAGTATTGCAGTACTCTGTTGTATTTGCAGTAGTCTCTGTTGTATTTGCAGTAGTCTCTGTTGTATTTGCAGTAGTAGTAGTGGAGGCCTTGGCTGGTGCAGTAGCAGTTGTAGTATCAGAAGTATTTAAGGTCATAGCTTTGTGTGTAGTTGTAGTTGTAGTTGTAGTTGTAGTACTGGACGTCAGGGTGGTCAGTTGTGTAGTAGTATTTGTAGTATTAGTAGTATGTGGCGTCAGAGGGTGGTACACATGTAGTATTTGCAGTAGTTGTAGTAGTATTTGTAGTATTACTCTTTGTTCCAAATTATTATGCAAATTATATTTTTCGTTGTCGATCTAAATGACGTCATCAACATTTTCACGTTTTTAGAACATTTGAAATGTTCCTGAACAAACCTCAATGAGAACAAGATTTTTATAAAAATAAAAACTTCAAATCCTCCAGATGATTCTTCAGAGTTTAAACTCTGTTCCTGCTGTAAAAAACTG